AAAACAAAAAAAAAAAAAAAAAAAAAAAAAAAAAAAGCCAACCAAACAAACAAACAAAAAAAACCTGTTGGAGGACAGGCTTTTAGAATGCTGCCCTTCCCAGGTTCAATAGCTTTTGGAAAATGTCACAATGTACACTGTGGGGACTGCTTTAGTGTTGAGGCTGAGAACTTCCACCCTCTCCAGTGAGACTCCCTCAGCACCCAGAGATGTAGGAACAACTTTAGTTGTTGATGCTTAAAAACATGCAGACTAGAACAGAAACAACTCATGGTTTATAGAGGGTTAGGCATCGCCGTAACCTTAGGGAATCTTTTTCATTATTTTTCATTAACGTTAAAGTCTTCGTATCGGGCTCTAAAACTTGCGTTCGGGACTGGCCGCTCCGTCTTCACCAGCCTTGCGCTCAAGGGAACTGGGAGAACACAGCACTTTCAGTGCAGGCGTGGTTGTGCTGTGAATCAGGCAAGAAAAGGCATCAAAGCTAACAGTAGGTACTCAATACCTTGCAAGGGCTCCCGCACCCAAACTAGATCAAGATGACGCGAACACTCGCGCTCCCTAGCGTCCAGGAACGAGCTCCAAGAAGCAGCCTACGTGATAAACAGGAAGAGACCCAGAGCCAACCCCAGGCCTTTTCCGCTCCCGCCCACGTCCTGAAACAATGCCAATCAGACAGCTATGGAGGCGGTACTTCCTTCTGTGGCGCGCACGCGTGCCTGAAGTCCCGCCCCGGAACTGCAGATGCAGGCTGCTGCAGTTCCGGGTCGGGGTGTCGCAGGCGTCGCCGAGTGTGTGAGAGATCGCTGGCGGTGAGTACTCTCGGCGAGTGCGGTGCGGAGCGATGCCGTGGCCTTTTGCGGACGCGCTCCCGGTGCTCCCGCAGCATCGCGTGTCACGGGTGACCCCACTGCCCTGGTTCCTGGCTTCCCCACGCCTGAGGGCCCGCAGGCAGGCGTCAGGGCCCAGTCACCTCCCTTGAAGGGCTCGTGCGGTCGTTGTGTCCGAGGGAGTCTTGCAAGCGGCGCAGGGCCTCTCCCGCGTCCCATTTTCAGTGACAGCCCCTTCGGCTTGTCGGTGCGGTGGGGCCGTGGTGTGGTCGGTGCCCGGGACGGCTGGGGGAGCCTTGCCTGCGAGTCAGCGTGCCTCTCTACACGGGCGCCATGCTAAGCGGGTTTTGACATGCGTCATCATGTCGTATTCAAGCGAGGACCCAGTGGGATAAATATCTCATTGTCCTAACGTTGTAGTCGGGGAAACTGAGCCTCAGAGGTGGCAAGTGTTGGCTCTAGATGTTAATCGAGAATATAATTGTATAATTTTACCTTGTGCTTTCCACAGTGTCTATTCTTTCATGTAGAGAGGACGGTGTGGAGCCACTGCCACTCAAATAAGTCATGCATAATCCGACCCCCTTTAAAGACAAGGGTCTCATGTAGCCGAGGCTGGCTTTGAACTCCTGATCTTCCTATCTCCTTTTCCCGAATGCTGGCTACCCACTAAGCATGGTTTTTAAGCAGTGCTGGGCGTGGAACCCAGGTCTTCATTCACTCTAGGGTAACAAACTGAGCTGCATCTCCCGCTAGCTCTAGATCACTTAAAGTGTAACTAGACAGCTGTGTTGGAGTGGAGATGGCATTGCCTTTTCTAACAGGGAAGAGAGCTCAGTGCAGTTGTAGTAAAGAACACTCCATCCCCTAACACAGAACTGAAAAAAGCATCTCAGGTTCTTACTCCATCTCAGAAATGGCTCATGTAGGGTAGGCTTCCCTCTGGCACCTCTCTTGATACTTTCAATTATTTGTGTACAGCATAAAAGCAGGTATTATCATGCCCCTCTCCTTTTAGAGGATTAAGACACTAAATTCTGAGACAAGTAAGTAGTATTGTTGAAGTTGTATTTAGTGTTGGAGCTGGGATCCTGACACGTGTTAGCTCATGGATCTTTACTTCATTGCCTGTGTTCCCTCTGCTCCAAGGCGAACTAACCTATTCTGTGGGTGTTTGTGTTTCATTTTCTGGCTGGGAGCATCTTCTGTGTGTTAAACCATTTTCAGGTCTTCTGTCATTTGCAGGGTCAAATGCATTTTAGGTTCTTTGGGATGAGGGTGTTGCCATAGAACCTATGCTTGACAGACACTAACGTAAAAGAACGTCTCTTTTCAGCAACCATGAAGTTAAAGGAGACAAAATCAAGGCCAAAGCCACCGAGCCGTGGCACATTTCAGACAAGGGGCTTCAAAGTCGTGGGGAAATGGAAGCAGGTGAAGATCGATCCAAATCTGTTTGCGGATGCACAGATGGATGGCTTGGTGTGCTTTGAGGAACTCACAGATTACCGTTTAGTCTCTGCTGCTGAGAATCCCTCTGGTTTCTTCTCAAATGAGGAGCCAAAGAAGAGAAAGGCCCAAGCTGTTTCAGAAGAGGAGGAGGAGGGAGAGGAGGAGGGAGAGTCTAGCTCCCCCCAAAAAAAGATCAAATTGAAGAAACAGAAAGATGCGCTAGTGGCTGCTGAAGGAAGTACAGCCCAGGATGAAGTCAAAGATTCTGAGCCAGAGACTCAGGCATATGTCACTGCTTGTTCTGATAGACAGGTAGGAGAAGCAGCATCGGAAAACCTGGCACAGGCTGTTCCAAAAAAGAAGAAAAACAAAGGGAAAAAAAAATTAAGCCCTTCCCAGAGCACTGTCTCTAAAGTGCCCAAAAAAGCAAAGACATGGATGCCTGAAGTGCAGGACCAGAAGGCAGATGTGTCAGCATGGAGGGACCTGTTTGTGCCCAAGGCGGTTCTCCGAGCACTCAGCTTTCTGGGCTTCTCTGCACCCACCCCAATCCAAGCTCTGACCTTGCCCCCAGCCATCCGTGACAAACTGGACATCCTAGGAGCTGCTGAGACAGGTAAGGGCTGTCCTGTCTGTCCCAGGCAGGAGAGCTTTTGCATCCAGTCTTTGGTTGCCTCATAGGCTGGAAAACTGGAGGAGGGGAGTGTTGAGCACAGGGCCACAAAAACCGTGTTGAATGGTGATGGTGTTGAGAAAGCATCCAGCTCTGGGTTGCAGTCTAACCCTGCCTGACTTTGGTATCCTTGCTTTATCTCTGTGAAGCATGTGAGTCAGATGGAGATGACAACACTACTTAACCCCTTGCAGTCAGGTTGAGAGTTTTCTCTTACTGAGGAGTTTTTAAAAATCAAGAATGGATGTTAGATTTTTTTTTTTGTACCAAATGTTCTTCTTGCACATATTTAGGTATGTGGGTTTTTGTTTTTAGTTGTTGATAGCAATGAATTATGTTCATTTTTTCAAAAATGAAATCTAAACATTCCTGAGAAACAGTGAACTTGATCACAATGTGCTGGTTATATCTTGGATTTGGTCAAGTGTGAATATGAAATTAGAATATTCATCTATAGTTTTTTTTTTTGTAATGATATTGTCTGGTGTTAATGTTGACAATGACATTGGCCTCAATAACTTGTGAAGTGTTTTCAGTTATCTGAAATAGTTTTAAATCATTGATGTTTTTTTCACCCTTAAATATTTGTTAGAATTCATCTGGGCTTTCTCTTCTTTCTAGGCAGGTTTGTAAGTATAGATTTAGGTTTTAAAACCCATTAGAGGTTTTGTTTTTTTGTTTTGTTTTGTTTTGTTTTTTTTATTCTTTTTTTCCCCCCTGAGTGATCATTTCCATTTAAAATTCTATCCAGTTTTTTGTTTGCTTGTTTGTTTCATGTAGCTGACAGTCTGTTTTCAGGCTCATAAGTGTCTTATATATTAAAACATGATTGTTGATTCTCTTAAATGAGCTGACTCCTTTCCATCATGAAATAACCATCTGTATTCTATAGGAGTCTTTGTCCTAACACCTGCTTTCATATTTCTGCAGCTGTTCCTTAACGGTGGTTATGGAAAACAGTTGAGTTTAGATCTGTTGTCTTGACTTTTTTCCTAGTTGTCTCAGACGTTCTTTGTTATTACCTTACTTGAGATTGGACATTTTGGTGATATTACAGATTAAATATTTATTTGAAGCATTTGAGACTGTTTTAGATTTGGATTTTTAAAAAAATAATATTTGCATCTACATAGCTGAATATCTGAGCGATAGAATCCAAGTCTATGTATGAAATTCATTTATATTTCATATGTTCCTTAAACATATAGCCTACAGGTCTATGTTGGTAACTCAGAATATTTAAAATTTTCTAGTGTTTGGGAATTCAGATTTTTGGGTTGGGTTATTCAATTTGTATTAGGATGTTTTTGAAAACAAAATCTGTGATGGTGCATGCCTTTAAGAGGCAGGAGGGTCTGTGAGTTTGAGGGCAGCCTGGTCTACAGAGCAAGTTGCAAGCCAGCCAGGGCTGCATAGACTCCTCATCTCAAAACAAAACAACAGAAAGCAAGATGCTTGTGCCTGCAAAGCATTTGTGATCCCACAGGTGCTGTGGGTTTTTACCAAACCAACTGCTTCTCCATCTCTCAACTCCAGTCAGCTGTCCTAGTCCACAGTTCAGTTCTGACTACCTGGAGTTAGATTCCTACCCCAATAAATTCAGGTCCAATCACACAAGACTGTTTCTTTATTGGGCCCCTACTCCTCATTTATTTGTTCAAATTAAGGAGCACACGATAGCCTCCTTGGTTTAATAATTTTCTAAAAAGCCCCAGAACTCCGGGAGGTGTGTTTACTGGCTTAAAGAGTGTAACTCGGTACCAGCTCCATTGAAGAGAGTGATGGGGAAAAAATGTTGAGGGCAGTAAGAGGACAGAGGACTTCAGTGTGCCCATTTGGGCACACCAGCTCTTATGAGTTCCCCATCCTGGAGGGCCCTTCAAATCCCATCATTGTGCCCATTTGGGCACACCAGCTCTTATGAGTTCCCCATCCTGGAGGGCTCTTCAAATCCCATCGTTTGTAGTATTCTTATGGAACTTCATTCCATTATGTGGGCGTGATTGATTAAAGCCTTGGTCATTGGAAATTGAAGTTGGTCTTCAGTCCCCCTTTCTGGTGGTCAGGAGGGATGTGTGTGGAAAGTTCCTGCCTGTGGCCACCAGCTCCATCCCAAAGTTTTCTAGATGCAATTAGTCTCTAGCTCACAGTCATCTCATTAATTTACAAAAGATCCTGTCACTCCTGAGGCTTTTGAGGCTAGGGATGGAAGGTGGAGATTAAATATTACAACAGAAGATGCTCCTATCGAGAAGTTACAACGGTTTCCACAAATTCTGTGCCAGGAACTGGGGATGAGACCAGATACATATTCATTGTGCTGTTTGTCTCCTCTCTTGTTTTACTAGCCACAGGCCTTTGTTGTCTTTTAGTGTTTGCTTTAAGGTTCACAGACTTTTATGGGCTGTACACATGTGTTTGTCATAGGTTACCTTCAAGTGATACAGTGCCTCATGTGTGGTACAGGAGCCTGAAGGGCTTATTTCCATCTCTCCCTCCTTTGTACTTTTTGTTGTGTATTTTTATTTCTGTCTTTGTTGGAAACTCTGAAATACACTTTTACTGTGTTGCTGTAAGCAGTTGTTCTGTAAAGAGCTTTAAAAAGAAGCAGTTTCTTTCTGTTTCTGTAATCTCTGGTTCACTTCATTCCCTGTGTAGATGGAGCTTTTCATCAGCCACCATCCTTTCTTCTGCATGGAAGGCTTTGGTTAGCATTCTTTATAGCAGATCTGCCAGCGAATCAGTTCAGCCTTTTAAGACTAAAGCAGCCTTTGTTTTGTATTTGAAGGAATTTTTTCCCCCTTGGTAGTTATGAATTGTCAGTTTTATTTCTCTCAGACTGTCAAATACAGATGCTGCTATGATATTTTTCTGTTTTTTTGTCTTTGATGAAAGTCTGTGGTTTTTCTTAAATTTTTAGTTTTTTGTGTGTCTGTTTTGTTTTTAAGCTTTTGCTTCTTTTAGTGTGGTTATCTTTTACTTAGAATTATTCATAAAAGTTTTTCCCAAGTTTTTTTAAAAAATTGTTTATATATGTGTGTGCCTTTATGTATAGGTGTGTACAAGCCAAGGCCTGTGTATGGAGGTCAGAGGACAGCCTGTGGAAGTAGGTCCACTCCTTGCACTGTGTGTGTCTTTGCTTGGACCTCAGATCCCCAGGCTTAGTGGCAAGTGCCTTCATCCATTGAAGCATCTCACCAGCCCATGAGAGTTCTTTGCAGTTCAGATTAGGACTTTTTTTTCTTCCAGAGACCATGATTGATTTTTCTGGGACATTCTTACTTGTCAACTTTAGTATCCAAGAAGGATACCTTTCAGGTCCCCTAGTAGATCCCCAAACACAGATGATGCTGAACTCTGTACTTTTTTTCCTACACATCTATGTAGATTGAATGCCTTTTATATCTTGAGCATTTATGCACTGTGGCCATACTTGCTGCAGATTGAAATATAACAGCAAAACTAGCATTAATTTCTTCTTTACAATTTCATGGAAAGAATATTCTTTCTTACTGTAGATCTTAGTAACCAGTTCATGACATTTTTCCCGCATAAGCTGAGATTTTGCAGCTTTTTAACCAAAGAGCGCCTTAACAGCTTCTCTTTAGCATTTCTGAGCTGCTCTGGAAGAACTCTCAGGTGGTAGTGAGAGCGCTGAGTGACATATACAGTGTGAATACACTGGGCAAAGGGAAGACTCTTGTCTGTTGGTGGAGCCAGAGAGCATGAGCGTTTCCCTTACTACTTGGAATGATAAACAGCTTGAAACTTATGAAATGCTTATTTATGGAATTGTCAGTTTAATAATTTTTGAATCATATTTGAGCATGAGTAACTAAAATGCAGAAAGTGAAATGACAGAGGATTAAGGAGAAAAGCTGCACTTGAAATTTTCAGGGTATAGTATTCTGTTTGTTTTGACCTCTGAAATAATGTCATCTCTCTGTGCCTTCAGAGGTCGGTTTTAAAGCATGTAGGTTTAGAGACAAACTTGTTAAGATTTCTGAAAAGAACTCTTTATTTTATTCCTCCACTGAAGAAGTTCTAGGGGAGTGATGCACAGATTTCTCTACAATAAGATGGACTCGCCCTTCTTTCTTTTATGGGATCATCACCAGGGTGTTCGTTCTCTGTCGCTGGTGACGTTAGTTCTAGTGCCAGCATACTGTACTTTTCCTTGTTTTATCCCAAATACCCAGCTGCCACGCTCTGTGTAGAAGGGTGATGCTTTGGGTAGGTCAGGCTGACACTTGGCTCTTTCAGGTTTCCTTATTTCTAGGCAAAGGCAGGAACTCAAAACAGTGACATGCTGCATCATGGATTCCTGTTGTTTTGCTTTACTTCTAAGGAAGCGGGAAAACTCTTGCTTTTGCCATCCCGATGATTCATGCCGTGCTGCAGTGGCATAAGATGAAGGTCCCACCCATCCCAAATGGCACTGGAGTACCACTTCGGGAGCTCAGGGTGGGAGCTGCTGCCCATCTTGGGTCACCTCCCAGGGAAGGAACTGAGTCTGCAGTGTTGCAGGATGCGGCCAGAATTGAGAATGAAGCACATCCCAAGACTAGTGCCTCTGCCTCAGCCCAGGCACTGCTCTCCTGTGATGGTGGTGATGCTGGTGAAGGACCTTCTTCCTTGGTTGAGGACAAGCTTATTCCCAAGCAAGATGACGACAGGGAAGAAAAGCTTGATGAAGAGCAGGCTGGGAAGTTAAAACAGGGGCTGTGTGACCGCATTGCTATCTACAGAGTTCACCCAAGGCGCCCCCTGCTGGGACTAGTCCTGACTCCCACTCGAGAGCTGGCAGTCCAAGTCAGACAACACATTGATGCTGTGGCCAAGTTTACAGGTGAGATTTAGTTCCACTAAATACCAGGTGACAGCAGTGAGCACTGTGGCCCTTGTCCTCTAGGGGAGCTTTCTCATTTACTGGAGAATTAAGTCCTTTAGAGATCAGTTGACAATTGTTCGATTCCCTGAGGGGACCAGATTTCTAAAATGTTTGTGAGTAACCTAACCTTTAAGGAACAAATGTTCTAATTGCCTCGAGGTAAAAGCTTAGTTCTATGCCTTTGGGGCAGGGTTTCCACAGTATGGTGTTTATCCTAACAAACACAGCTGAGTTCTAACTCAAGGGCAAGGCACTTCCTGAGCACCTCAGCTATATTATTTATTGTGTGTGTTAACTCATATCCCTTGGCCCGGAAAGCAGACCTCTCCTAGAATGAAGATGACTCCAGGCCCCAGAAGAGCTCAGGTTCACTCTAATGGAAGGGAGTAGGAAGGGTTCCTTTCAGCATGTCACATCCCAGCATGTAGTGCACCACTGCTCATCTTAGAGCTGTGCAGCTAAGTGTGACCTGGTTCAAATCCAGCCTTTCTCTTGTGGTTAGAAGGGAGAGAATAGAAAAGGAAATGCCAGGGTCCAGACCACACACTACAAACTACTTGGGAAGCCCTCTAGGAGTTAGGCAAGGCCTAACTAACAGAAAGCTGTGCTGGTGCCTATGTGCTAATCTAGAGGGTGAGCAGCCAGATGGAATAACAGTGTCTATACATTTTCTGTCCCCATAGGGATTAAAACGGCAATTTTAGTTGGTGGGATGTCCACACAGAAACAGCAGAGGATGCTGAATCGCCACCCAGAGATTGTGATCGCTACCCCTGGTCGGCTCTGGGAGCTAGTTAAAGAAAAACATCCTCACTTAAGCAACCTTCGGCAGCTCAGGTGAGAGGCAGCCCTCTCCATTCTCTCTTAGCCTCTCTGAAGGCAGCCTGGGGAGTGAGTGGTGCTTTCTCACTGCCACAAAATACTGTGGCCATCTAAGCCCTATCCTTGCAAACCAAGCATGCGTGAGAAAATTTGTCTGCTGCCCTAGTGGCGATGGTAGGGTGCCTGTATGTGTATGTGAATGAGTATGTGATTGGGCTGACATCGGGATAGTCTGTAGAGGTTCTTCTCCCTGCAGTTGCACTAACCAGTGATGTGGGCCTCTGATCCACAGGTGCCTGGTTATAGATGAGGCTGATCGGATGGTTGAGAAAGGCCATTTTGCTGAACTCTCTCAGCTTTTAGAGATGCTAAATGACTCCCAGTACAACCCCAATCGACAAACGCTTGTTTTTTCTGCCACACTAACCCTGGTACACCAAGTTCCTGCTCGAATCCTTCATAAGAAGCACGTGAAGAAAATGGATAAAACCACCAAACTTGACCTTCTCATGCAGAAGATTGGTATGCGGGGCAAGCCAAAAGTCATCGACCTCACAAGGAATGAGGGTACAGTGGAGACGCTGACAGAGACCAAGATCCACTGTGAGACAGATGAGAAAGACTGGTACCTCTACTATTTCCTCATGCAGTACCCAGGCCGCAGCCTGGTGTTTGCCAACAGCATCTCATGCATCAAGCGCCTCTCTGGGCTCCTCAAGGTCCTGGACATCATGCCGCTGACCCTGCACGCCTGCATGCACCAGAAACAGAGGCTCAGAAACCTGGAGCAGTTTGCCCATCTGGAAGAGTAAGTGAAGCCTGTCTCCAGAGGTCTGGGTTTTAGCCATGAGCCATGGGACCCAGGGGGCCACAGAGGGGAGGGAATCTAGAGACCCCCCTCTCTGTCACAGGTTCCTTAGCAGCAAGAGACAGGCTAGCTCTCTTTTTTCTCCTCCTCCTTCCCTCCTTTCCTTCCTTAATTTTATTTATGTATTTGGTCAGGTCATGTATTCATTGTGTTTGTTTGCTTTTAATGTCCTCAGAGACTTCCAGTAACTAGTTAGATAGCAGATGAAGTCCTGGGCATCTGGTTACTTCCAGCATCCTTGAGAAGAGCAGAATAAATAGTGATTGAGAGCACAGACTCTGTAACCAGAGTGTTTGAGAGCAAATCCCAAACCCTTCACTGCCTTGCTGGTCAAGTTGTGTCTCTGTGCTTCATTCTCTCATACTTGGGTAATAGGTGCTAATGGGATTGCTAGAAGGATAAAGTAACTGGCAAGGATGAAGGGAAAGTGTTGGAAACACTACCCAGTATGACCTTTGATAATCGCCAGTGCTGCTACTCCTCCTCATTACCCTGCTCTTCTCACTTTGTAGATAATAGGGTGATAGGAAGAGATGACGACCAGGTTTCACAATGTGGAAGTGACGGCTGTCAGACCCCAAAGCCAGCACTACACCTCCTCATGTTTGTCCATCTGCCCATGGACCAACTCTGATGCAGGGAGTGGGTACAGGTTGTCTGTGTAGGGAAGAGTGAAGCAGTCTATCAGAATGGAAGAGAGTGAGTGAGAAGGTATTGGGAGACACAGACACTGACCCAGAATGAATGTGGCTTCATTTTTCATTGGCTGACAGAGTACAGCATATGCTTTTCTCAGCCTTAGCTTAACTGTGAAAGGAAGGTAACAGTATAACCTTGTAGGGCTATAGTGTAGAGTGCTTAGTAGGTGCTAAGCTGACTGATAGCTGGTGTTATTTATAATTATGGTTGTGCTTTGTTTCCATCACAGCTGTGTTCTCTTGGCAACAGATGTGGCAGCTCGGGGCCTGGATATTCCTAAAGTTCAGCATGTCATCCATTACCAGGTACGGCTCTTGGCATTTCCTTTCCCTCCCCTGCAGTGGATGGGGAAGTGTTAAAGTAAAGGTTGGAGCAGAGGGGAGGAGTATTAGTCCTTGGGCTCCTGCAACATGTTCCCATTAGCATCTAGTGCCCACTGTGACTGCTTTTTGAGCAAGCATCTCTCAAATAGCCTTTCTCTTCAGACTACTTATATCTACAGATTAAGATGTTAGCTCCTCCCACCCCTTACCCTTCAATGGAATGGTTGAGCGTATATCTTAGTGTGCTTTCTGTTACTATAACAGAATACCTAAGACTGGGTAATTTGTAAATGTGAGGGTGTGTCTATTGATTCTGGGGACTGGAGAGTTCAAGGGCATATCACCAATATCTGCTGTGCTCCGCTCTGCTCTGCTTCTGGTGGGAGCCTTGAGGTGGAAGGGCAAGCAGGTGGCAAGTGCAATAGTAAACATGAGGGAGACAGCCTTGGGTAACATCCCATGGTAGCCAGTCCAGATCCTGGAGAGCAAGAACTCATCCATTTCTCTTTTCAGCCCATAAACAAACAGCTCCCACTAGGCCCCTCCCACTAGGCCCCTCCCAGCACTGCTGTACTTGTTACACTGAAGAATTAAGCTTCAGCGTGAGTTTTGTTGGTGACAGACCACAGCAGCATGTTTTTGTTTTTGTTTCAGTCATTTTCATTTTTACTTTATTTATTTATTTATTTTTTGGTTTTTTGAGACAGGGTTTCTCTGCAGCTTTGGAGCCTATCCT